CCTTTTCACTACTTGACATCCTATTTCATTTATCTGTACCTGACTTATTCTAAGAACTTTGCCAATATTTATTTATTTAAGCACAAGATATTTCACATGTATTATAGTGAATATATTTGCTTATATGTTGTTTGGCTATAGTCCCCCCCCCCACTTGATTGAATGCCCTCCAAACACAGTGACTGTTTTGTTCACTTGTGGACCCCAAATTCCTATGGACAGCAGAGACACTCCATAAATGTCTGTGGAATGAACTGAGTAAATGAGAAAGTGATACAATATCCAAGAAGTGTCTGGAATATATTGGATTATGACATTGTAATGATCTTTTTCCTTACAGCATATATGCAGGTTGGTTTTTATATTCATTTTCTATGACTGCTGTCACCAATTACCAGAAACATAGTGGCTTAAAACAACAGGAATTTTGGGGGCACCTGGGTGGCTCAGTCGCTAAGTGTCTGCCTTCAGCTCAGGTCATGATCCCAGGGTCCTGGAATCAAGTTCCACATCGGGCTCCCTGCTCCGCGGGAAGCCTGCTTCTCCCTCTCCCACTCCCCCTGCTTGTGTTCCTGCTCTCGCTATGTCTCTCTGTCAAATAAATAAATAAATAAAATCTTAAAACAAAACAAAACAAAACAAAAAACCAACAGGAATTTTTTCTTTTGTAGTTCTAGAGGCCAGAAGTCTAAAATCAAGTAGGGCTAAGTTCTTCCTGAGACAATGAGTGGAGAATCCATTCGCTTGCCTTTTTTTGCTTCTAGAGGCCTTGGCTCAGGGTCTTGCTTGCATCACTGCAACCTCTTGCTTTTGTTGTTACATCTCTTTCTGCTCACTTTGATCCTACTATCGCCTCGTAAAGACCCTTGGGATTATATTGGGCCCACCTGGATAATCCAGGCTACTCTCCCCATCTCAACAGCTTTAATTTTATCACTCCTGCAAAATCCCTCTTACCATGTCAGGTAACATATTCACAAGTTCCAGGGACACAGACATTTTTGGAGGGCCATTATTTAGCCTACCAAAGCTTTATTACCTCTGATTTTCAATTACGAATAGTTAAGGAGGAATTGCAAATTAGTTTGCTCTAAAAGGGGAGCTATCTGGACACCTGGGTGGCTCAGTCCGTTAAGCATCCACCTTCGGCTCAGGTCATGATCCCAGGGTCCTGGGGATCAAGCCTGCTCAGCAGGGAGCCTGCTTCCTCAGTCTGCTTCCTCCCTCTCCCTCTGCTCGCCCCTCATGTGCTCTTTTGCTCTCTTAAATAAATAAATAAAATCTTTAAAAAAAGTAAAAGGGAACTGTCCATAGAGTTCTGGAAGAACCTCTGTCTTGAATTCTAAAGCAGAAAACATGATCTTAGATACCAGCTTCACCTCTCCCTAGCTATGTGACCCTGGGTGTGTGACTTGACAACTCTGTGCATCAATTTCTTCATCCATGAAATAAGGATCACAACAGTGGTGATAAAGAAATAAAGAAACCAGCCTAACCCAGGAAGGAATACTGGGGCCATAGCAGCACAGAGAAGGGGCACCTAATCCAGCCTCCATCAAGGAAAGCTTCCTGGAGGAGGTGAGCCCAGAGCCTGAGTGGGGCATTCACATGTTAATAAACTGTGTCCCCAGCACACTCATAAAGCATTTTGCATAACACCTAGCAGACAGCAAATAACTCAATAAAGTGTTGTTTTTAATAGTTGAAGATAGCTTTCACTTCTCCTTTCCCCTCCCCACCCCTCTTAGGGCCAAGGCTGAGTCAGGCCCACAGGCCATTTGCACAGGAGGTTAGAGTAATCAGAATTTGAAATCAAGATTCAGTATCAAAGCAGGACAGGATCAGTAACTGTCTTCCTGTGCTTTGTTGGAGTCTGGAGGCAAAAGGAAAAATCAGTAAATACAGTACTGATCCTGTCTTTATTTAAAATGTTGATAGTTTGTTCATCATGGATTTTGGCATTAAGTTTGATTCCCTATAATACTGCATGAAAATATTTCTCAGGTTACTTACTGAGGTGGGGTTTTTTGGTTTGGCTTTTTTGTGGGTTTTTTTTGTTTTGTTTTGTTTTGTTGTGCTCCCTTAAATTTTGTGCCCTCACCCTGGTCCCAGCCCTGCCCCTGAGATTTTTCTTAGGGACCATGTGACAAGACAGAGATACTTATGACAATGCCCAAAGACACTCGCTGTGTCTTCGTGTCTTCGGGATCAGAATGGGGATTATGGGATCCTGGAAAGGACCCTGAACCCAGACCGGGGGCTCTTTGGAGGAAGTATCCCACAAGAGTTAGCTGTGGAACGGAAGAGGGCCTCTCAGCTTGAGGAGGAAGTGAGAAAGGGTAGAGGTGGTCTCAGGGAAAGTGGGGGGTGGGTTTAGTGCCTTCCAGGCCATAGGACAGGATCTCGGTACAGATTTCTTGATAAACTGGGGTGGAAGGGAATAGAGAGAAGGGCAGAAGGATGACTTGGCATTTGTGTAGGCAGTGGCTAGGCAGTGGTTCTCAAACTAGTCCCCAGACCAGGATCTTCAGCTTCTTCAGGGATTGTTAAAAATGCAAAATTTCCAGCCTTGCGTGAAAACAGTGCCTCAGAAACTCTAGAGGGTGGGGCCCAGAGGTCTGTGTTTTCTCCAGGGGATTTTCAAACACTGGAATTTGAGTAATGCTGGCGGAAGGTTCTCAACCCTAAAACCCCACATCGCTTTTACAAATAGTTCGTAATGATTACTAATTGGGAAGAAATTTGCAGATAATAAAGGCCACCTACGCATGTGGTCTAAAAACCCCAAATCCATTGGTGCCTGGGTGGATCAGTCGGTTAAGCGTCTGCCTTTGGCTCAGGTCATGATCCCGGGGTCCTGGGATAGAGTCTGGCGTCAGGCTCCCTGCTCAGGAGGGATTCTGCTTCTCCCTCTCCCTCTGCCCTGCTTGTGCTCTGTCTCTCTCATAAATAAATAAAATCTTTAAAAAAATAAAATAAATAAAATAAAAATTAAAAAATAAAAACCCCAAATCTATAATGCACCGACTATAATGTAGACATAAAAGAAAAATAAATCATAGCAAAACACACATTTCAGTATATAAATACTTGGGCACAACTTCCCAGGAGGACACAGGAGTCTCAGAAGCTTGTGTCTGTTTTTAATGAATATGTTTGGATTTGAGAGTAAGATATTCATCAATCAACCCAATTTTGTCCCCAATTTTGTCTTATATTTGATATTTTTAAATAAGCCCTAAATAAGTATGACCCGTGGGTCAGCCAAAATCACAGCGACAAATGTAAATGTGCTGGGTCAACTACTCTAATATTAGGAATGGTGCTGGCATCCATAAATTTTTCCCAAATGGTGAACAGCTCTGGACAAAGCTCTCCAACGATACTTTTCCCTCTACTTAAACATAGTTGCCTTTCTGAAAATTCCGTGAAAGAGACTTTGGGTTGATATCTAAAACGGAGTTAGGTTCTAGTTTCAGAGGATTATGAATGGGTTTCTTACCTACACAAGTGTCAATGGGAATGCAGCAGTTCTTTGGGTGGACTCTCCAGTGCATTGCGGGACATTTAGTATTCCTGGCTCCTGCCCTCTAAATGTCAGTGGCCCTCCAGTCCCCATCAGCAAGACAACCAAAAATATTCCTACGATTAAAAAAAAAACAAACCTTCATGGGGGTGAAATGCCCCCACTGAGAACCACCTTTAATACGAATGGTGCTGAGAGCCAGATCCCAGGAAAAAGCAGGAAGTCCCTGCCCCTGGATCTGTGGGAGGGATCCAGGAGGCTGCCTGGGTTTCTGGTTGGGCAATGAGCTGGCAGGTAGAGCCCTGTGCAAAAATGCAGTATTGGACCATGCCATCTGTGGGTGCTTGTGCAGTGTGCACGCAGAGGCAGAAGAGAGGGAGGGCTTTTTGGAAATCAGAGAAGCTTCCTATCACTGAGTCGAGCCCGTACCACCTGATTTGTATGGTACTCCACCTCTCCATCCCCATACTGGTCACATCTTCCCAAAAGGGCAGCAGCAGCCCCTACCCTGGTCTCTCTTAAACCCTCTGCCACACAGTCCATTCTCTACCCAGCAGCCTTAGAGCTTTCTAGAGCGCATCTCGGTGCGCCACTATTTTCTTGCTTCTTCCCACTAGGCCCCAGCCTCTGATGGACAAACAACCTCCTTCCAGTTTCCCGGCCTTTCTGCAGGCCGTGTTCCCCCTCAAGCCCCAGGACTGCCTGCCCCTCTTCACCCGTTAATCCTGCTCTTCGGTCAGGCCTCAGAGCAAATGTCCCTTTCTCAGAGAAGCCTTCCCTGACTTCCCAGGGAGCTGGCTGGGTTTATGGACACATAGGATTCATATAAAAATAGCAACAAAATAACTTTTAAAATGTGCCTAGCAATTTGATTCACTCCTGTAAAATCCCTGAGGATAGGCCCGTTCTATCTGGCGCACTATCGACTATTCCATGTCTGACACTTAGTAGGTGCTCAATATTTCACAAATGAATGAATCAATGAATTTCGGCAGACTGCCGGTCCGGGTTTCTATTCCCTGGCCCCTGCGCCGCGCTGCCTGCGCAGTCGCCGGGCCGGGTTTCCCCGCCTGCGCCGCGGGCGAGCCTCCCGGGGCCCGACGTGCCCGCGGTAGCGCGCGGCCCCGGTCCCCAGACCCGAGGGGCCGGGCGCGCGGGCGGGGGCG